CAATTAAAAGTTGAAAAATCTGTGGTTGTGCTATTTTTACAGGTTTTACTCTCAAAATATGTTAGAAAAAAACAAGAACCTCTTACCACAACAACATTGTTTTACATTAAATCATACTGCTTCAGAACCCGCTGTTAAAGCATGCAGTGAAACGAATTTTGAGTATTTTTGAAACAACAATCCAAACTGAATACTGTATTCAGTAGGAGCGTCTATGCCCCGATTTTATACTATGTGAATAGCTAAAGAATACATTTTTGAATATTAAGTTAGTTCAAACTAGCTTTTCCATTGTACAAACCGTGGAAAATTCCAAGAAAATCATAACAAAAGGAATTTTCTTTTGAAGATTTCATAGGTGTATTCAAAAGGCCAAAAAAGTTGAACCTACTTGCGAGACTGTCTTAACCACCACAGTTGTCGTTTTTCTCGGCATTATTTCAGTATTTTCGAAATTATCTATAACATAATAACAATATTAGTAATGTAATCAATCATTTTCAAATGATTTCATACCATGAGGATCGTAAATCGCTCGTCTTTGCGTTGTGACCGTTTCACGAAATTCGCTGCCATTGGTGTTTCGAATTTTAACTGTATCCACAAGTTTTCCGGGTGTTACTGTCTTTGGATCATAGTAGAAATCAAACTGCAAAGAAGTTGGGACATTGTTATTCTACACTGTGTATGAAAATATAGCGTATTTCTGTAAAATATGGTACCTGCACAGTTAGTTCTCCACCAACTTCATCTTTACGATAAGGTCTTCCTTGGAGTTTTAAGTTATGAAGGTGCTGAAATACAGCACATGTGGAACAAGAATTATCATAGTGCTTTGAAGGGATTCTCAGGAAGACTTCATAGAAAAGTGCTAAGTCAAGTTTTCTATAGTTTTAGAGCTATAATTAGTAGAAAATTACCGTAGCATTGCAAGGAAATATAATAATTAAGACGCAAACAATTTTGTTAGCAGTTCTCATAAACGTACTTCACCACTTCTTCTAATTTCCTCAAAGTTCACAATGGCAAGTCCCAAGAAATTTTTATCGTCATCAGAAGAAACTTTGAGCCCTGCATCATAGACTTCGAAGAGGATCTCTTCTGATGCAGGAGTCATGTCACTGAAAGTTGCAGAAGCAATCAGTGCTTTAGTATTATGAATCGTAAAATGAGAAGTATTTTGCGTCTTTTTTGACATAAATTGAAAAGCGCTTACAAGTCAAAAGACTCCTCCCAGTAGGGACAGGCGTTAATTCCTTTTGTCGTTGTGAACTTCTGAGCTGGCTCATCCATTTCAATGACAACGTAAGGCTGCTGAACGTCGACAATAGCTAAAAATTCGGTTAATTCTACGACTGACAGAACATTACATCAATGTTTTAGTGCAATTCACGCGAACCTGTACCTCTCCCAAGATGATTAGCTTTTATCACCTTCACGCGTAATTTGTTGGCTGCAGCGTTATTATTCGTCATTGGAGATATCAACTTAGTAGGAGAACCAATTATAAACTTGTTCAAAAACAAAGAAATATTTCATCTTACATGAGATTCATTCAGCTTTTTGAAGAGCTCTGGGACTTGCATGGGAGCTCCGGATACTTCTCCCGACAATCTACTTTGGTCCACTACAGGTTTGGGAGAGGGAGTTGCCGGTGT